CTTTTTAAATTTTTTTTTGATTCAGTGACCAGAACAAGATTACTTGATAATTTTTGGATGTCAGTAATTCTTAAACTCTCCTAGAATTAAAATAAATAAATAAATGGCCTCTTTAATGTTTAGTATTGGCACTATCATTATGGGTAATTTTTTTTTTTTACTAACGATTTACTTAATAACTTTTGATACTCTTTTGCCTAGTTTCTTTTGCGATCACTCTTATAGTTGATTTATTTTTCCAAAAGACAGATAGTTGATAGGAAGGGCATTTTTGACTAGTGGGTGAGGCAACTTTAAGATTAAAAAGGCAGCTGGGGACATAGCTTAGTGGTAGAGCACTTATTAAAGTGTACATGGACCTGGGGTTTGATCCACAGCATTGTAAAAAACAAAAATTAAAAATAAATAAATAAAAATGGTATTTGAAATTAGAAGGTAGCTCTTCTTTCCATTTGGTTCTACTTCATGCATTTTCATAGGAGAAATTTGGGAGTTCTTCTAAGCCAGTTCATTGTAAAATTATCCTGGAAAATTATATATACCTGCCCTCTATATTTTAGTTTATTATAAAACAACTATATTGTTTTATATAGTTTTATATTATTTAGGCAACTAGATAATAGTATAATAAGCATTCAAAGATGCAGATTTTATGTTTGGTTTATTAGCCTGGGCTGAACAGTGATCTTCTGTTAACTATTTCAAAAGTATTGGGTATAGTTTAAAGTAAGCCTATTCTAGAAAGGATACCCCCACATTTTCCCCAGGTTTTTAAATCTTCAGATTTTAGCTAAGAAAAACATTAAGTTTCTTCTTATTGTTAAAATAAAACAAAACCAGGTTTCTATCCTGGCATGACCAGTGCAGTTTTACAAATGAGTACTCAAATTCTCATTTTCTGAGGGCTTTTGTATTATCTATAAAGAACTTATTGGCTTATCTCTGTTTCCCATTTTCTCTCTAAACATTTTAAATTCTGTTCTGATAGATGTCCCCAGTGGAGTATTTCACATACCTGGTGAAAGGGTGGGCTTCATGTTTGGGAGAACAAAGAGGTGTCAGAGACTTAAGCAAATTGGTGTTATCAATTTGCTTCATAGTTAACAATTTAATATAAACTTAATGCTGGGTGTGGTGGTACACTCCTATAGTCCCAGGATGGTTGCAAGTTCAAGGCCAGCCTCAGCAACTTAGTGAGACCCTGTCTTAAAATAAAAATAAAAAGGGCTGGGGATGTAGTTCCAGTGGTAAAGTGCCTCTGGGTTCAATCCTTTGTAAGCCTCCCCCCAACCCCTGTGCATGCTTTATCAGTTACATTTTAATAGCATAAGGATTTATCTATGGATTTTGGGAGTTGCAAAGATAATTAAAGTTGTTTCCTTACTTTTTCTTTAAAATTTTTTTTTTTAGTTGTAGTTGGACACATACCTTTATTTATTTTTATGTGGTGTTGAGGATCAAACTCAGTGCCTTGCACGTGCTAGGCAAGCTTTCTACCGCTGAGCCACAACCTCAGCCCTTGTTTCCTTACTTTTGAACAGAGTTTATCATCTATTTGAAAAGATGAACAAGGCCCAAATAATTTCAGTGTAAAATTCCACATCTTAGCTGTGACAGTCAAGGGTGGTACCATGGTAGTAAGGTAAAGGATTCACTTATTCTTGTTGGAGGCATCTTTTCTGAGTTTTGTTATATTAGATTTATTTAGTTAGAGAACAATTCAAACTAGAATTTGTTTTTTTTCCTGTACTATAAAGTCAAAGTGATTATGATTCCATTTGCTAACTTTTTTTTCTTACATACAGTTACACAGTATCTGTGCATACCATATTAGCTTTTTCCCCCTCTATTGGTGCTGGGGATTGAATTAAGGGCTCTGTACATATTAGGCAAGTACTCTACCACTGAGCTCTATCCCTGAGCTCCTCATATTAGCATTTTATTAGATTGGAATAATTTTGTGCCTTCCATAGTATACAGATTTAAAAAAATTTTTTTAATATTTATTTTTTAGTTTTCAGTGTACACAGCATCTTTATTTTTATGTGGTGCTGAGGATCGAACCCAGCGCCCCACGCATGCCAGGCGAGCGCGCTACCACTTGAGCCATATCCCCAGCCCCCATGGCGTACAGATATTAACAAGAGAAGTTTTAGGCTATGTTGAAGTCGAAACCTTCAGTTTCATTTAATTTTTTGCTTACAGACAAAAGGTTTCAACCTTTAACAAAAGATAATTTGCTTACATCTATAATTTCCATTTTATTTTTTAGTTTTTTACTTATGTTAACATATAAGTAATCATTAATAGCATCAAGGCATAAAACATTTCAGTAGGCTCCAGAATACCTCTTCCCAGGAAATCACACCCCCCCAACAACCACGATTCTGACTTATATTATAAATTAATTTTTTTTTCTTTTTGGTACTGGGATTGAACCCAGATGCACTTTACAACTGAGCTATCTCCCTAGTCTTTTTAAAATTTTTTAAATTTTGAGACAGGGTTTTACTAAGTTGCTGAAGCTGGCTTTGATCCTCCTGCCTGAGCCTCTGGAATTTTACGGGGATTGTAGGTATGCGCTTCCAAGCCTAGCTTGCCTATTTTTTAAATAACAATTTTAATGAAATTCACACAACTATAACTCTCCCACTTAAAGTGTAGACATTTTTAGTAATATTCATGGAGTTGTATATCCATCACCGCAATCAAGTTTAGACCAGTTTCATCACCTGAAAAAGAAATCTACACCCCTCAGTATGCTCCCCCCTTCTACTTCATCCCCAGCTTTAGGCAATCCACTTTTTGTCTATAAAGAGTTTCCTGTTAAAAGACATTTCATGGGCTGGGGATGTGGCTCAAGTGGTAGCGCGCTCGCCTGGCATGTGTGCGGCCCGGGTTCGATCCTCAGCACCACATACCAACAAATATGTTGTGTCCGCCGAGAACTAAGAAAAAATAAATAAATATTAAAATTCTCTCTCTCTCTCTGTCCCTCTCTCTCACTCTCTCTCTTTAAAAAAAAACCAAATATTTGATATAAATTAGGCCTTGTCTTAGATGATTTTGTCTTACTGAAACCTAAAATAAGTATTCTGGGCATTTAAGGTATAGTAGACTAAGTATGATATTTGGAATGTTATGTGTGTTAAACACATTTTCTTTTTCTTTTTTTTTTAAAGAGAGAGAGAGAGAGATAATTTTTTAATATTTATTTTTTAGTTTTCGGCGGACACAACATCTTTGTTTGTATGTGGTGCTGAGGATTGAACCCAGGCCGTACGCATGCCAGGCGAGCGCGCTACCGCTTGAGCCACATCCCCAGCCCTATTAAACACATTTTCATCCCATGATCTTTTCAACTTATGAAGGGTTATGTGGACATAATTCCATCATAAATTGAGTAGCGTTTGTATGTCTTCTTTCCTTCACTGGGTCCATACTGCAGGCTTGGAGTATTTATCAGAATTCCTCTTCCTTGGCAGTCAGAATTCCAATTTTCAATTCAATTTCATATTCCAGGTTTTTTTTGTTTGTTTGGGGGTTTGAACCCAAAGATGCTTAACCACTGAGGCATATTCCCATGCCCAGCCCTTTTTATTTTTTATTTTCTGACAGGATCTCCTAAGTTGCTTGGGGCCTAAGTTACTGAGGTTGGGCTTGAACTTGCCATCTTCCTGCCTCAGCCTTCTAAGCTGCTGGAATTACAAGTGTGCACCACAACACTTGGCCATATTCCAGTCTCCTGAAATCATTTTTCCCAGTCTGTTGAAACGTCCCAGAGTTCTTCAGCATCTCAGACTTTTGTCTTCCACTTTCAAATTGGATACCTTGAGGGAAAAAGTGGAGCCAAATACTAGACTGAATTCTATTCCATTCTCTCTGGGATCTGTGGCCCCATGTACTAGCTAATTTGGTGTCTACAGAAAGGGTCTTTTTTGGTACCTAATTAACATTTTCTGGTTGTTTTTGGCTGGAGAATTGGAAAAATACCAGATAACCTTTTATAATCAAAGTTGAAATGTCTGACAAACACAATAGGAGAGATGACTTTTAGGTCATTTAGGGAGCATATGAGGCACAAAACTAACTGCTGTGTGTTATTAAAAAGTTTCACTGCTTTTTCTAAAAAAGTTTACAGAAAGAATTTTTTTTTTAAATTGATAAATATATTGGGGAAATAGAAGGATTGCTGTGCATCACAAATGGTTAGTTGAGACCAGTGGTCATGTATTTAAAGTGAAATCACACTAACATAAGGAACTCCTGGAAAACAATATGGAAAAACTATAGTCATGTAAAAGATTGATAAAACATATCAGAAAATTCACATAAAAGGAAATACAAATGTATTTTCAAAAAATTTAAAAAGATCCTCAGTTTCACTCAAAATAAAATAGAAATTTAAAACCACACTGAAATACTATTTTTTGCTAGTTAGACACAAGTACAGAAGTTTAATAGTGCATTCTGTTGATAAGACTATGGGGATACAGGAATGATGGGAGTATAATGTGATAAAGCCTTTTGGCAATAGTTATAAAAATTACAAAATAAATATACTTTTGCAGCAATACCACTCAGAAAGAATCTTGCAATGAGATTTGTATCACTTTTTTCTCTTGCTGAATGCTTGAAGCATGTTTTCCATTTTGTATAAGACAAACAGTTATGGGGTATCAGGAAAGCTCTTGTTTCTTGATAGTAAAGAATGAGCTCTCTTGACTTCCTTTTTGTTATTTAGTGTTTTGATATAAAAGAATCTAAGTGCAG